CCCGAATACTCTCCCTTCAGTGCATACCCAGGAGGTGCTCGGGGCACGGGGGAGAATGTGATGTACCCACCAACCTCTCTGTGACTGTGTGGCTCTCCTCAGCCACTGTGCCCAAGTCCCTTTTCAAGAGTAAAAGTCCTCAGTGCCTGCACTCCAGTCTCATCATCAACTCTGTGATTAGGGGAGAAAATAGCTCGGAGTCAGCCTGTCCCCCAGTTCTCAGGGTGGCTTGGAGGTGCCAGCCAGACAGAAATGAGTGGCCTGCCGTGAGGCAGGAATGGAGCAGGCCTGGGCTTGGGCTCAGATGGCTGGGCTCTTCAGCCTTCTGCTCCCTTGCTAACCCCTTGTTTCCCTTCCATAGAAATTGAAGCCATAAAGCTGGCTGAGCAGAAGCTAAAGGCAGAGCGGAAGCGGCGGGCCACAGTGGTGGTGGGGGACCTGCAACCCCTTCGGGACGCCCTCCCTGAGCTGCTGAATCTGGAAGCCGGTGCCAGGCAGCCACACACGCGACAGTGAGTGTTCATCTTCAGCTATCTGGAGAGCTCGAGGCTGTGATGGCTAGGCTGTGACTCGACCCAGCTGGGGCTTTCGTCTGGAGAAACTTCCAAGCTGGTGGAAGCCCAGACTTGTTGGGACAGCAGGGGTAGGACTGGAGCTGGCACCCGTGTGGGAAAGCCCCACCCCGTGCCGCCAAGTTGAGGGGATTTACCCGGCCTGGCTTTGTCCGCAGTGTCCTTAACTCATGGGAAGCCCATTGGGGAGGATGTCGTGCCTGTCTTGGGAGTTACCCGGATGGGCCGGAGGCTGGATGAGGGTCCTGCCCCCTCTTGACTCCTACCCTTCAGTGAGGGCTCAAGCCACTCTAGGCCCTGTGGGCACTGAAGAGACTCCTGGATTTGTACCCCAGTGGGGCCGGAAGAATCTGTGGGAGGCCTCAGCCCACCCGCCACCCTACATTTTAGTAAGTGGAGGTGGAGATCCAAGGCCTCCAGCCAGTTAGGCCATGCTGAACTGTTTTCTGGACCTCCTAGGACGTGGCTCTGGGTGGGGAAAGGGAGCCCCAAAGCCCAGTTTTGCATGCGCAGGCCCCAGGAGAGGTGTGGGTGGTCAGCAAAGGATCCACACGTAGGTGGACACAGGGACAGGATCAGTGGCTGGAAGAGCAGAGCAGCATCCTGTAGCAGACATTTGGGACAAGTCAGGTTGAACCAGGTGACAGGAGCATGGGGGTGTAGGCACTGTCCTGGGTGGACCAGAAATGTTTTTCATTCCTACTTTAAAAGAAATAGCAATGAAAGTAGAGGCTTCCTGGCCTGGAGTCTAAATTTAGGAGGTGGTCAGGACTGGACAGTTTTTCTCCTTCTCCAACCTCATCTGAGTCCCTCTCCTCTGTGAGGCCACTCACACTCCCAGAGTCTCACTTAGGGAGAGGAGTGCTGGTCCTGGCACCATCCCAAAGCCTTACTGTGGGTTGCAGCCTCAGAGATGTGATCCTGGCAGACATTCCAAGTGAACCTTGCATGGCCCATACTCGGCTTTTCTGTCCACAGCAGAACAAGCAGCAAGCCCCGACCAGCCGAGCTGAGCCGGATGAGTGCCGCGCAGAGGCTCCAGCTCCTGTGAGTATGGCCCCACCACCAACATGTGGCTCTTGTGCTCCCACCTTCCCTCCCCATCCCTCCAGGGCTGTCAGGTGTCTGGCCAGGTTCCCCAACCTCAGTCTATTCAGGCACTCTGGGCAGCTCAGCCAGGGCCAGCTGTGGGACACAGGCACAGCCTGGTTGGCATGAAGTAGCTTGTCTTCAGTGGGGCCAAGAAGCCCCTTCCCTGGGGTTGTAGGGGGAGCAGCTGCTGCTGGCTCTTAGGAGCTGCCTTCAGACCTGGGTCCTTGGTGGCGGGGGGTTCCGTCCCAGGTATTGTTACCTGGCTTGGGTAGTTACTTGTCCAGTGGGGTTCAAATTCTCCCGTTAGCAACAGGAAAGCTGAGGCCCAGCATGGTGTGGCCTTGCCCAGGTCTCACACATGCAGGGCAGTGCACCGGCAGGCCCCCTACCCTACTCTTCCTGAGGCCAGATCAGTCCTTCCACGGCATCTTCCCCACCACAGCAGGCCTACATGGACTTGTCCTGGAGCTGAGGTTTCTTACCCGGTCACCTCGGTTTCAGGGGCAGAGATGTTGCCCCCCAGGCACACCTATCCAGGGCACCAGCAGCCATGGCTGGGCTTCAAGGCCTGCAGAGCGTGAGCTACCCTAGTGCTTATAGAAGGCGGCACAACCTTGCCTGTACCCAATGGGTCACCTGGGTTTAGAGACAGGCGTGCAGGGAACAGCAGCCTCCTCTTTGGACTCGGGCTCAGGGCCTCCTGCAGGAGGAAAGAATTCACCTCCTCTGTTGCGAGGGCAGAGGGTGCCACCTCCGTCGCCATGGTGTCCCTTTGTGAGCAAGCTGGCCTAGGGCCTGTGGGGACACAACTGGCCCTTCATTCCTACAGTAGCCGCGTCTATTTTGGCAGCACTGGAGGGAGGCGCCTTTTATGTAAGGCTGTGTGTCTGCAGGGTGCATGCAGGCTGCTGCCTCCCTGTGTTTGGCAGCCGTTTGCCTTTAATAGCAGCTTCTTGTCAAGGTTGGGCATAGGAGCCTAGAATCCCCTTCCTGGGGAAAGGGCAGGGATGCCAGCACCCCCAATCCCATGGGCACAGTGGCTCCATGGTCACTGTGTGACCATGAGGAGGCCCCTGGGCAGCTTCTCTCCTCCTCCCCAAAGCCTTGCTGAGCCTTCAGGTCCCCTTGACCTGACCCAGAAGGCCTCACTGGCTCCCGCCTCGCTCAAGAAGCTCAGGCTGCCTTCCTCACTCCCTACGCCTCATCCAGCCCTTTGCCGGTGTCCCTCCCTGTGGTGACTCTTGGCCTCTCCTGTCCACTCCAGGGTTCAGCCTGCTCTGCAGCGCCTGGGTATTGGGTGGCCCAGCCGAGGCAGGTTCTGGGTGCTGAATGCTCACCCCACTGTCCCAGGGGTATAGGGTCTGCTGACCTTCGACCTCAATTTTTCAGCGAGGAAGAAAGGACCCGATTCCGGGACCTGCTGGCCAGTCCCACCTACAGAGCCAGCCCCCTGCTGGCCATCGGGCAGCGGCTAGCTCAGCAGATGCAGCTGGATGGCAGTGGCCTGCTCTGACCTGACCCCGGGGTGTGCTGTGAGTTCCGAGGACACACGTGAGCTGCCAGAGGGCCAACTACTCGCCATTTCACCCAGAGTCTGGAGGGCAGCCTCCTTGGCTCTTTCTCACTTGTTAGGACTGGTGGGGCAGCCCCCCAGTCCCCGGGGGGGTGAATAAACACCATGTGAACTCAGGCAGCGGGACAGTGCTTCCTTCTGTGCTTCAGCTGTCCCATGAGCAAGACAGTTATCATAAATCCCGGGTTTGAAGATTGGGCTGCAGAAACATTGACTTAAACCCTTCATCTGAGGATGTGGAAGGGGGTGCGCGCCTTTCTCAGACCTTTGGGAATGGGAGTGGGGCTTGTGCTGTGCGGACTAGCTGACCACGTCCTCCAGAGCCAGTGGGGGATGTGGGGCTCAGGGGAGGGTGGGCCCTGGGGTCCTCTGCTCAAGGTACCTGGTCACTGGTTGCTGGAATTGCCTTGGAGCCTTGGCCTGTGTGTGGGTCCCACCCTCAGAGAGTTGGATGATTGGACTGATGGCTGCGTCAGGGTCACACATGGCCACCTTCCCGGCACCCAGCCCTGCCTTGACACTTCATTTGCTGGCCCTCAGAGGACTCAGACCTCATTTGTGTTCCAAGCACTGGCTTTCTCTTGGTTTGTCCAGGACAGACAGGGCACGTGGTGGCCATGCAGCATCAGCCAGTGAGGTGAGTCAGGCCCAGCAACTTCATCTCTCAAGGTCTGTGCCACTTGAAGCCAATTGCACAAACAGCAGCTGTACTGCTTCTGGAATGTTTCTCATGCAGAGGTAAAGCCGGTGCTGGCAGCCTGGGCTGAGGGCATTGTGCTGAGGTGTGGAGGCCCAGCCCCCCATGCTTCCATGGGTTCTAGTCCAATGACCAGGGTTTTCCAGGGTGCCTGCTTCCAGGATATCAGGAGATCCAGCTGGCTGGCGAAGATAGCAGGATACCACTTTCCGGGCCATTCCCTAATGTTGTGTTCCTAGGGCAGCTGGTCCCCTGCTCCTGGGCCCTAGACAGCAGGTCTGCGTGGAGAAAGAACCTCCTAAATTTCAAGTCAAAGAGACTCAGCTAAACTGTGTTTTTCTTCTAAAGAGGTTCAAATAACGTTGGTTAAAATGACAATTATATGCATATTCTTGAAGTTGTCTTGTGTTTCTTAAATTCTTCTTAAGATTGGAGAAATCTTAATTGTAAGATTCTTGGTACAAAAACAGTGATTGTATTTCTGAGCCCAGTGTTGTTCCCTGTGCCACAGAGGCACTTGGACCATGTAGTCTCCGTGGGGCCTCCCGACAGGCCTGGATCCTTATCCTTGTCCCTCTTGTCCCTGCACCTAAGGGGGACTCTGGGAGCTGGGTGAGCAGGGGTCCTGGCTGGGACCTTCTCTCCAGAGGAGAAACTGAGATGCAGAGAGGGAGAAGCCCCCCTCCTGTGACAGGCTGAGTGGTGGCCAGCAACTAGGGGCTGTTGGTGCTTTTCCTGACGCTGTCCTCAGAGCTTCCTGATGGTCCCATGACCACCACTTACTTGACCTCTGCCCTCAGTTTAGGTCAGCACAGGGCTCAGTGTGCCCTGGGACGAATGCCGCCCCCCCACCCCCAACCAACCCCTTTCCAATAAGTCTTCTTCCTGCCTTTGGTGCTTGGGCTTCTAGCACGGGCAGTGATAACTCCCACTTAATCATCTCTCCTGGGCTAGGGAGTAGATTCTAATTACATAATAATGTTTAATTAGAGAATCCAGTACCCGTCAGCCCTCTGGCTGCAGGTCTCCCTCGGGACGAGCTGCAGCCTTCCCTGTGTCTCCTGCAGGTGCCCCCCCCCCCCC